CATGCGCATCGATCGCGTCGAACGCGCGACGAAGCGCTGCCGTCGCGAAGTCTGAACGCTGCCTAAGACGGGCGGTTGTTGCCAGCGTTATAAGTGAAAGGACTGCAAGAAGGAGTTTGCCATCACCCTGCTCCGATGGCGACAGCTGGCGTCCCCAGCCATCGTCCCCACAGGATTTAATGAGCAAGTGCTGTAGTATATCAAGTCAGCCAGCTAAAATAAATACTCTGCTAGTTCCTGCGCGTGGCAGCCCCAATCGGGACGTTACAGCCAACTCTTGTAATTCCATACCTAGAATTTGTCATGAAGCTTTAGTTGAGAATTTCAGAGCTCATCTGTTGGACAAGTACTGAATTGTGAGGGAATCGAAACCCTTACTGCAAAGCATAGAGATCACCTTTGAAGAATCGTAGTGATTTCTCAAGTGCTCATGTACATTTTTCTTTCCAAAGCTCTATAAACGTTGCGTTTATTGCATTGAGCCACCTGTGGAATAGTTTTCTGGTAGGTTTCTCTGGGTACAGTTCATATCACGGCGCGAAGAAAGGACGTGTCTACGGACTCAATTGTCAGAGTATCGGCGAAGGCTGTAGGATGTTGCCGGTCCAGGCGATAGACGACAGAGTGGTTCAGCTCCCTTCTTACAATGTCTATGTCTCCAACCCGAACAGGGCAACACTATAAAAACTCCGTTGACCAACGCTTACAACACGTATGTTGACCAGTACACATCGTAAGTTGGGATCCCCACGGGGGTCATATTTTGCTCATCGAGGGCAGTCGTTTTTTTCGGTCTGCAACGATTTTTCAGATGGTTGACTTTATCCATCTAAAATCGTTCCCAGCGCGCCAGTGTGACGGCACCAGAGTCGCTAGCGGTGCGCAGATTACTTTTCTGACGATCGTATGTACGATCCTCGGTGACAATTTTTTTGGGAAAGTTTGGTTATATGATCGGTCGGTTTCAGAAGAGGTCCTATGGGAAGAGAAAAATTTGGTAAGAGGTCGTGCTTGGCCCCAGCGCCTTCCCCGCCGCTGACACTTCTCTGGGAGCCGTGATATGGACTACACAGGAAGCCCGCAGTGTTATTTATCAGTTTTTAGCTCAGCAGAAAAGAGCTCAGAGATCTTATGAATACTCTGCAAATAAGGGGTATTTAGAAATATGTTAGAATTTGGATGATTCTGATATAGAATTTTTATTCGCCTTCACAAGATTTTTATGCAGCTGCAGTTGGAAGGGGGCACATGGCGGTGTTATCGGCAATGCCTTTAACAGTCTGCGCTCATCTGAAGCAAAAGCTGGACCGCGCGGCAAGTCTCGCTGTTTTTCCCCTCATAACTACAGTAGATTTGAGTATTGTTTTCACTTCTGATTGTTTTGCTTTTTTTGTTGATTTCAATTTGTTCTATCGCAATATTGCTGTTGTTACGTCTGTGGATTGACTGTTGCTGTGAATATTGGTTGTGAAAGAGCGATCAGTTTTTTTATGGATGATTCACAACTTTACTCAGAGCGGACTCTTGCTCATTGCAGGGAGCTGTCTGGGTGTTTTTCGAGGGCACGAGGTGGCGCGAATACTTGTAAATATGCTCGTCAGCCTTCTTCACCAAACACCGCTCGCGATTACACTTCGAGAACTACAACTCTTTTTGCGAATCTGATTGTGAGGTACGCAGCCAGCTCCACCACAAAGCATCAGACTATTCAAGAGCAGGTGGAGGGGCTAGGTTATTCAGAGTAATCAGAAACAAGACTGGCCTATCCCTGAGTGGGTAACAGTGTAGCAATACCTCCCAGTCGCGGCGAATGCGGCTTAATACGCTTGTAAGCGGCAAGGGATCGTGCACGATGCGCGATCCTGCAACTGGCAAGTAGAACCTCACAACCTTCATACTTTCCACGTCTGTGAAAACTGAGAGATGGAAAGGCACTGCTCAGCACTTTTAACACGTTGACGACGAGCCATTTTTCCCATGACTTGCGCCTGGGACGGCACATTTTTCTACTGAAACTTAGTAATTTCCAAATAAATGAATTACTACGACCAAAATGTATCGAGAAATGCAAGAGACGAGTATAGCAATCTCGAATCTTTGACACAATTTAGCTCTTATTGCTCCAATCTTCCAAAATCAGGCCATTTTTTACCAAATTCTTCCTCTGGAGACAGAATTGACTGAAAATTTGTCTCCCGGGGTGGTTTGATCTCCTAAAGAACAATATCGCATCCCTCGACCCGAAAATGTTTGTTCTTGAACTAATTTTATGAAAAGAAAGTGAAACAATCGCGCAGATCTTGAGTTATATAATAACTGTGGGACAGCATTGGGCGACGCCGTTCCACAAGACAAACTTTCTGTCGTCCACCATTGACGGAAATCGTCGTCAACGCGTTAAGTGGACATGATATTAGGTTGGTGCATAAGTTCTTTCCCCCCCCCCGACTTTTTTGTAAATATCTCAATAGCGAACCAGCCTGAAGATTAGAGGTATGCACCATCACCATCCACTACTCGACGCCAACGCTCAGGCAGCTTGTCGATTCCATCGTCCCAGAAGGACGGGGGCTGGGACCCGAAGAAGGCCACAATGCCGCACAATCACCACTGTGACATGGTTTTGCACTGGTAATTGTGCGGCATTATAGCCTGCAAATGCAGGGTGGGCGAGTGATAGCTAGTGTGATGAAAGAGTATCATGTACACGTCACGCACACGTGATGACGAAATACCAACATCCATGCAAACGAAATACGGAAGGATCAAAACAGGGAAAAAAAACTTATGCACCAACCTAATATTTTGGCACCGGCGCCTATGGCGCGCGCGGGCACCGGGCAGTCCGGGCCAAACCACTGTGCTGTTCGTTTCAGAGCCTACTCCTATAGACATCTTTTGAACAAACTTGGTTGCTCGCACGTCTTTATTATTAGAGCAGTATGCTGTCGGACAGCATTGTCCGACACCGTCGTCAACGTGTTAAAGCGCCTTCATAGTTCGCGATCCGATCGTTTGGGTCGCGCGACCGGATCACCTGAGCGTCGCACAGTGCATAGATGCAGCGCACTTTGGATTCTGTCGTTGTGGCGGTGTACTGTTTGGCAATATAGCGCTCAACGACGTGGTAGCGCGATCCAAGCGATCGGACCAAGAAGTATGGACGCTCTTTTGGAGGCGGCGCCGCATCTTCGTATCATGCGAAAATGCTGATGGCGGGATCATTCAATCAATATGCATCTCATCACTTCACCAAGCTTTCGATTCTTTTTGTAGGATGTCTTTAGTGGGAGCATAGCCTTCACAAGAATGCTGAGTTATGGGCAAAAGTCGGACCACGGAATCCCGTCCGTGGTCCGACTTTTGCCCACAACTCAGCATTCTTGTGATAACTTTCGGATCGCGCACTGCGGCGTTAAACAGCAGTTATCAAACAATAACAGCTAGCCCTTCGTCACTTAAAAAAGACAGCAATGTAGAGTTAGCCTAGTTGCAGCGGACTAACAAGGGAGGTCTTTCAGGTCGTGGCGCGCTTTTCGGAAATGATTTGTTGCATGTTGTAGAGGTCCGAATAAGGATCACAAAAATGGGTTTCATTTTTGCTATGCGTTTCTGGGTAGGTCAAAAACTGAGTGCAAAGTTTGCTGGGGAGAAGCGATTTTGAACCATTTTTCCGAGGCTTTTTCTATTCATAATGTTAAGTATGCATAGCAGATGAGACCTTCGTCGACACTGCATCGAAAACAATACAATTCAAGGTAAAAAGTACTTTATTTGGCACATAGTGAGGCAGCATTGTAGTTTCTCAAGAGATTCTCGCAGCATCCCAACCCGCAGCTGGCGTGAGGGGGGTGTTCAGAGCCATGTTGGCGCCAAATGACCTAGACGCCAATTTTAAAGGTCAGAATCGTCATCAGGGCCATTAATAACCTCTATATACAGACTTTCAGCAAAAATTTTCTCCGATGAGCGCTTAACAGCCCCTGCGTGCGGGTTGGCAACAATTCAGTGGAAGAATGCTCTTGCAGCAAGTCGGCGCTAGGCTGCGCCGTGGTCAAAAATGGGTGTCGTAAATCCAAAACCGAAAAACGTATAAAGTATCCGAAAAATGCAAAGAGTTAGTCGCCAAGGGGATCCGATCCAAGAACCTTCTTCGCGAGAGCCCACCGCACTATCCACTCCGCCATCCGCCGACCGCGAAACAGCGGTTGCGAGAATCGTTCAAGTAACTTCGGTATTACTCCCCTCCGTCCACTTTCTTATTGGCTTTACTTTGCTATCTTTTCAATACATAGTGAAGGGACACCTCATGAATTATGCACTGTCAAAGTTACAGCTACAACAGAGCCCATTAACACGGTTAAAATCGCGATTTCTCGTCAAATTGTTTTCACTCAGTTTTTGACCTCCCCAGAAACGCATAGCAAAAATGAAACCCATTTTTGTGATCCTTGTATGGACCCCTACAACAAGCAACAAACCATTTCCAAAAAGCGCGCCACGACCTGAAAGACCTCCCTTGTAAGATGCGCGTCAGGCAGATGCCTATTGCCGTACCAAACTCGTTCTCCACCAGCTGCTGAAGCGAGCAAGTAACAAGACTACATCATATCGTTCGTATCACTCGTTTTCTACCAGCTGTTGTCGTATACCCGCTTCAACAACTGGCGAGAACGGGTTCGGCACACTCATACCGCATGACATGCCCTTCATCCGCAGCGAGCTAAAGTGTAGTCTCCTGGAAATCACCGTAATAACTGCCGCAACCAAAATGTGATCAATGTGACGAGTTTATCCGAACTCACAATTCAACAATTAACAACGGCATTGACATATTCCTAAACGTCCAGGAATATCACGTATAACGTAGAGTATCCGTATCACTTAGAGTTAATCACTAACCGACATGATTACGGTAATAGTTTATTAATTAAGCAAGTGAATAATTTACAAACATTCTGACTTGCCTACAAAACTGCGGTTAATTAGAATCAAGAACATCATTTTCGCTTCTTTCGTTCTATTGAAGGACTGGAAGGACGAACTATCGAAACAAATGATCGGAACAGCTCTATTGACCGTCCCTGTAAATGGATCAGTTGAGAGGACTAGTCATATACAGTCTGTTCGCAGCCGATGATGGGGCGTGTCGGTGAAGCTGGGTTTGGCGCGCTGCCAGCCCGCTGTCCACCAGTTGTTCAAGCGGGTACGCAATAACAACTGGTGGAAAACGACTAATACGAACGATATGATACAGCCTTGTAGCTTGCCGAAAATAAAAGGGAAAAACGGGCTGGCGCTGCGCCACTCCCATTCCCCTCGAAACCCCATCAGTTGCAGCGAATAATACTGTACGCCCCTGAAGTGGCAATGAAAATGAACGGTACCTGATTGAAGAAAATCAAGGCGAGCAGTCCAAAGAAGGGCAATGCTAATAAAGAACCGGCGCTAATCTCCACTTCACCCGAGCGTTTCGATGAGGTGATTGGAATACGAACCACACGTACGGGTGCGTCGGTTATGAAGAACACTAAAATGAACGGCTCCCGCGTACTGCTACTCAAAACACTCATACCATGGGAAACTAATAAAGCTTATAAAATAAAACAAAGACCTACGAGATATTACGCTGTTTCGCGCGGGAAGGTCTGCGGTGGTCGATCCGGCTCTACACGAACGGAATATTCTCTACTATCGCGAGGCAAATTATTCAAGTAGAATACCGTAACCGGAGCGTGAACTATTGACTGCGAAATAGTTTCACCATCACGCTGCACAGACACTCGGTACGATTGTGGTACTGGCATCGAGCCAAATTCTAGCTGTAAAACTCAGATTAAGGTACTCTTTTATGAGAAGGTCACCTTTCTGTAAGCGACTTTTAGTTTCTGACCCTTCAGCGTGGTAATAACACTTGATTAGTAATCTGATCTAGAAAATAAGAATAGTTGTTTTCCACACGCGCAATTAAGAACTTCATATAACTAAAACCCCACACCTGACATAATCTTTACGCAGTGCAAAACGCCCAGTTGTGGGATTGCTGAAACAAGAGGGGTGCGGGTCATGAGATTCGAGTTGCGGCAACTTCCGGAAACTAGTTCAGAGCACATCCGGCAAAGTGATGACTTTCCATGACCCATATAACATATGTCACGCATGTTCAGGCACCTGCAGCACAACTCGGACCTCCAGATCCCTACCCTCCGGACGTATGCGTTGCACCAAGCCACGTACTCTGTTGAGCACCGAGATGAGGCCCACATTGAGTTGGCCACGGATCATAGACACTATCGCTACTCTAAAGGTAAACATTTGCTACTCACCTCAACGGCGAGATCCGTGCTCGAATCGTACGGCGCTGCTACCATATCCAAACCTTTAAGGTCTTCAGCAGTCATTCTGACATCGAACTGTGATGGGAAACAATGCGGAACGGCTGTTCCTTCAGCTCCGGCTGAAATAATACAGAAGTCTGAATATCATGCTACACATCCACACTGCACCTGCTTCTCTCAAATATTGGGACAAAGGCAGTAGGGGGAGGGGATGAGGGGTCGGATGATATGGCGTGTCATGATTACGTCAAAAAAACTCCCTTCCGCCCTACAACAGCTTGGATTTGGAACGGCACCAGCCAGTTTTTTTAGCAACCATAGCTGCGTGCCAGCTACCGCAAACAGGTGGAATAGGCTGGCGCCGAATCCAGCCCCCTGACACGACCCAGCTGTAGAAGGTGCACAAAGGTGCATCTCAGCCCCAGATTTCAATTTTAATATGGTTCAGTTCAAATAAGGCCGCGCGGATTGTTGACTGATAGAGAGCAGCGTCCCAGGAACGTCTTACAACTCACATATCCATTTTCTCAAATTTGAAAATTGGCGAACTTCACCAACCTTTAATCGACACTCGATATTGACAGCCAGGTTTCAATGCACGGATACGATAAGAACCATCTTTTCCGGTGACAGCTTCTGATTGATGCTGATCGCATTGTTCAGACAGCGCTTCCACCACTGCTCCAACCACAGACGATCCGGACATCTCACGTACACGTCCAAACACACTTAATAATTGCAAAATAGAAATGAATGTGCGCCCCTCGATCACAAGTGTGAATACCGGAGACCAAATACGAGTAACATGTTGGCAAGTCTTACAGTAGCGAAGAAAAAACAGAAGAAAACACCTCGAAATGCCCTAGATGGGAGCTCTTCAGGGGTGAAACGAAGAAAGGGTGTGCTAGGACGTGGACACTTTTCAGCCCTTTACCGAACAATGAAGGAGTCCTTACAGCATAACGAGCAAAGAGAACTGATTACCTGACCGCCAATAAGGAAAAATTTAGAGGGCTAAGTATCATGTGAAGGGAGAGAATTGTAGTCAGAATTCACGGCAAAGATGCCCTTCAATAGCTATGTCTTTAGACTTCGCTATTTCGAAATAAGCGTTAGCTAAGTTGAAAGAAAAGAAAAGAAATAGCGACCATGCCCTTGGGGTGTGTCCTGTGACACCCCCCCCCCCCTCTCCTTTCCCGTCCTAAGTACCACAGATTCCCAACCTACTACCGGTTTTCCTAGTTTCTTACAAAACTGGAAAGGGTACACCTCACCATCTCCTGAAACAAACAGTCAAAAAAAAGTTTCGATGGAATTCAGCCAACGGTACTGGACCCCTGCCTGATATCTCTCGTGATGCACTCCCTTCAAGCCCGTTTACCAGCTTTCGTTTACACCTTACACCCCTCATCAGAAGAAAAAGACTATTTCATCAACTATTTCGCATGCCTCAGACAGCCAAGGATCTCAACAGGTAAGCATTTCTGCGTTTAAGTCGCGAAACCATCTCCTTGCGTATCCTCACCGGCACCGAACGAATGGCGACATTATCACACTGGGTCTCCGCGCGCCGTATCTACGCGGGGTCCCTCCAATTAGTTCATCATCGCCAAAAGTTATTACACCTTTTCGACATATGTCACTTTCAATGTTCCATTGAAATCGACATCGTCCAAAAGGGTTCGAAGAAAGCAATACTACTGAAACTCTCTGATCATAGGCTATCGATCAATACCCCAAATCGTTGAATGCTCCATGAGAATATTAGCCAAAAAAGTGAATGAGAGTTGTACATACATATTTCCAGCGCAACAGAATTTACGGTCTCAATTACACGCTAACGAATGCCCCTTCTTTGAAAACCTACCTGAATGCCACTCTTTTTCCACGAAGCTCAACATGTTCGTGCTGACCCTCCTTCACTGTGATGGTCGTCGTTGATGGTTCAAACTTATACTCCTGCAGGATTGCTCGAAGGAAGTAATCACCAGGGGCCTAAATACTCAGCAGTTGCAAACATTAGGTTTTATTGAGTAGGAGCGAGTCTAAACAAATCGGACTCCCAAAAGTTATATGGACCCAACCAGGGGGCGAGTTGTAGTCGATTTCGAAATTCGCCATCCATTCCTCATTCACAGAGCATTTTATTATGTTGCGATGCATTTAGCCTGGACAATTACTAGCATGCTAGCCTATGTATCAGTAAGTATTGTTATCCTCTCAGTTCCCCTCTGCAGCCTATTGAAAATTGCGATAATGCCGCTATGACGAACAAGATTTAAGAGAAAGGAGGGGACATATAAGGCACATCTGCAATAGAGAAAAATCATCAGTTGGAAACACCCTTTAGAACCTTCCCCTCAGACCGGATACTATCCCTGTTGCGATTTCTATAAAAGATTACGTGCCGCGGCTTCACTTGTTCTACACCCTCTGCGCCCTTGTATGACCAAAAAA